GTGGCTGTATTCTAAACAATGTTAAGCTTATCAAACACCACAGTGGTATTTTGTGTGCATCATGCATTTGCAATGCATAGCTTCTTTAAAAGTAATGATTCAGCTAATCAGACGCAACTGAATGCATTGGGAATAGGATTTGCGAAAATCAAACTTTTAATCTGCAATCAAAGCCAAAATCATAAGGATTATAAATTGAATGCTACTGAATAATTGAAGGTGTTATTCTCCAAATTACATTGAAAGTGTTGAGAAGAAATAAATGGAATCTGTCTCACGAAGTGCAGAAGATTGTTTATTAAATATTAGAGCTCATTGACATCACTAAAATGGCAGTTATCACGTGGTGTGCTTTTCTAGACTTCACAAATTTAAACAATTTACTGTATTCTGACATATCCCCTATACAAATATTTTAATCAAAGTTGGCATGGAAAAAATTACAGTGAAATCTGACCAGAAGTAGAAATGGAAGAAAATAATTTTTGAATTTATTTCATATTTATATTATAATGACTATTTTATTAATAGGTAGCACTGTTCTATTACTAATTTATATATTTTAATTTTCTAAATGATTTTGTGTTGTAATTTACTGAACATAGTACTTTGAATTTGGCAAATGGCCATAATTTTATAATTTTTCAAGTTAAAGCTATATTGGAAAGTAAAATTATGCAGAATAAAGAGGACACAATTCATTTTACTGTTATTTTTATTATTTTTGTCATTCAATATGTTTATCTTGTCAGGTGTTATTTCAGAAATAGCTTTCTGGCAAAGCTTTAGGACTTGTGTTTATTCATTTTATTCTACCTTACGTATATTTAGTGTCATCTATGTGTGTTTTCGTAACTATGGACTTTGTTACTATTGTAAAGGACAGTGATTTTCTGGCAAAGCTGTAGGAATTCTGTGTATTTAGTAAAAAATTTGTATTTTACTTAATCTATATTTGCATCACAGCCTTCATGCACTTTCGATTCAAGAATAGCACGCTCACTGCTCATTGGTGCACGTGACGACATGCCCTTGCACTCAAACTATAATTTTATTTGACTCATGTTTTTGTTTTTCCTATGTTTAAGGGACTTTTATGAAGTTTTAAGCTTCAACGAACTCATCCACAATAGGATTTTCATTTTTACTGATTGTAAATAATTATTACTGAATATGGGTTTATGCACCTATCATAGTGCTTCTTTAAGTCATCTCATGTTATCACTGCTCATCCCAGTATGCTTAGAATTCTCAGCTTAGGTGCACATTAAAACTGCTCCTCACCAGCCAGCACCTACTCTAGTTTAAAAATGATCTGCTCATTTTAATCATTACTGACTTGTTCTAATGTTATGCATCTTACGACCTGTGATTCTCCTAATACTTGCCACCTTTGACCAGAATTTCGCACGCGGGAGCGGTGCTCTACACACCACTGATTTAATTTGAAAACCGTGAACTGCCATAGACATGTTTGTTTGAACGGTTAAAACTCAAAGAAGTTATCACCATAAGTGAAGTGATGATTCCTCAATTCCTTTCAGAAATATACCTTTTATTTTTATTAAACATGTCTCCAATCTTGATGAGAGCATGTTTAAAGTGATCTTTATTATTCTATCATTTTTAATTTTAGTTTTAACTTTTTAGTTTTTTATTTATTACTTGTATAAAGTTTCATGTTTTAAAAATTAATGGATTAACCTTTTCTTTATTTATAACTTAAAATTTTATTTATATTTTTTGTATTTCTTGAGAAGGTTTAAAAATGTTTCTCATTTGTGTGTATTTATTCATGCATCAGATCTGCTTTCACATTTAGATAAATTCTGAAATTAAGTTTCAGTTCATGTCACTAATAAAAACAGCAAAATAACATAATAAGAAAGAAAGGAAACAAAATTATATTATAAAACTGAATCTACATCACTATAAAAATAGTTAACACTTTTTTTGCCATTGCACACAGTAACTCATTTTATAATATTAAATGGATATACTCAAAAAAAAAAAAAAAAAAAAAGAGAGAGAAAATTTGCTCTAATCCTATGGAATTTTAATCTTTACATAGTTCATGTAAAATTTCAGAAATGATACATTCCTATACAAGATCTAATATATTACAAATGGCTAAAGCAAAATTTTGGAAATTATGAATTCTCAATTGGCTGGCGAATTAATTCCAGGATGGAGAAATTAATTTCGTATTATATTTATATTTTATTCATACATAATACTGCTATATGACTATTCACTTTAAATATTTTCATTATATGTAATTTTTTTGCTTCATTTATATATGCCTGCAATAACCTTTTTTTTTTTTTTTTTTTTTTGGTAATATGCATTTGTGTATTTTTCACTAGTTATGATATCCACTTTTACATAGATGCATTTTAAAACTTGTGATTTTGAGCTGAAGTTTTACATTTGTGCAAATAATACAAATGGAAAATTAACATATTTATTCAGAAAATAATACAAGGGAGACAGAAAAGACTTCAACTGAGAATTAAAATCGAATCTACTTCATCATTAAAATAGTTTAACATACTATTTTAATGATGACGAATATTATAATAACGAAACAACTTTTTGAGGGGGGCTGTTACATGCAATAATTTATTTTTTAATTGTGCATGGGTAAATCCAAAAGAAGCAAAAATTTGCTCTAATCCTGATGAGCTTGAACAGCTCAAATGGATTTGAACTGTACTGCACACCTCTAAATATACACAGACAACATAATTTCACAGACCATAGGCTCTCAGAAAACATAAAATGGTTATCATGTGCATATTTTCATTAATTTTTATTTAAAATAAAATATTAAAAACACATTAAGGTATTTTGAGCATCAAATTTGCAAAAATTACAAACATAATTTGACTACAGTGTTTCACACCTGTGAACTTTATCGATCGGTAAGCACTATTATGCAATTATTTTTCTCTTTAACATTTCACATCATCTTTGTTTATAATATGCAGTTTTTCAACTGGACATTTCATAATGCACAATACTAATTTTTCTTCCACATAAGGAAATAAATACTTTTATTTATAGGATCACCAAATATTTACCCTTTCACACCAGTAAATATTTATCATGAGGTCTAAAACAATATTTATGCATTATTTTTACATTTATTGTCAGTATTTGCTTTTACATTTATTACGAGTATTTTCGGCTCTATTCTTATATGTGCCGTAATTTCACCAAATGTGGCGATATGTGTTCTGTGCTGGTTTTTGGCGCAATTACGTGTTGTATGGCAATCCTGTTGACGTTGAAAACATCTTTTGCTGGAGTGGTTTAATTGCTTGTTGGTTCGTGTTGTGCGTGTTTTGAAATAGCCTATGTTGCAATGATAGATGTGGTGGAAAGATTTCAGTCGCATATTTTAGATTGTGTGGAAATTAAATTTAGTATTAAAAGGTACGATATTAGAGTTGTTAACGAGTCTTTTGTTCACGGGTGTGTTTATGAGGATTGAAGTGTATTTTTGGAATTTCTGTGCGACTTTTAAAATGGAGTGCGAAATGCAGAGCTGCTATGAGAACTCGGATGAAGAAGGGCGTTTCTGATAGTTCTTGTGTGGATTTGCAGTTAAATTATTGCTGGTAAAGTATGTGGCTGTCAGCGGAGTTTAAGATTTGGATTGGTTTTGGTGCAGTAAGTTAACTTTGGAGGAAGTTTTTATCATTACTTTAGAAATTTTGAATCTCAGAAAGACATGTGATATAGCAAAAATTGTGGCACTTTTGTTTAGAGACATTGTGCGACTGGCGAAATTTTATTCAGGAATGTAGTATGGTAAGTGCATTTTATTTTACTGTTTTTATTTTGTAGAATGTTATGTTCATTTTTTTTTTACTATGAATGTTTGTTGTTATTGTTGTTTTTTCAATTGTTTGTAATTTAGTTTAGTTTATTTGGTTGATCTGTGCACCATTCGTAGATTTTTTAAAGTTTAAACAGGATGCTGTGTACATGGTATTCTTTGAAATTTATTGTTGTTATGTTAATTTATTACAGCGAGGTGTGCGTAGTTTGTAGATTCGTTCGTTGCCTGGATTTTGCAATTCGTAGATGTTTTTTTAAGTTAAAATATATCGCTGTGTACATGGATTCTTGTCAAATATTTTTGGTTAGGAACTTTATGTTTTTGCTATCTAAATTTTTTTGTTTTTGTTTCGGATTTGTTATGGCAGCATAGAGTTTCTCGCCAAAAATATTTGGCGAGAAATTTGGCGACCTGAGGGTGCATATAAGAGTAGTTCCATTTTTTTCACATTTATTATGAGTATTTTCATTTACATTTATTGCGAGTATTTGCACTTATAATATAGTCTAAGCTCTAGCATATAACATAACTTAACCTCTTATTCCTGTTAATATTTTTTTAAAGACATCCATTTCTAAACCCTCAAATTAATTATTTAAATGATAAATTTATATGTGAATATGAGAGCTTTTTTTGTAACAAATACATCATATGAAAAAATATTAATTTGCTGTCATTCAGTATTTTGGAAGGGGGTAAATCAGTATCTTAAAAAACATTCAGAATTTGTAACAGGATGGATACGAGCATAATCAACATTTGAGATTAATTACTTGAATTCTATTATTTGAAAATTTTAATAGCATCTAATGTACAAAGAAACCAGATTTGAGAAAAAGCATATTAAACCTCACAAAAATTTAGTTTTCATGTCTACATATAGCACATATTCATCTAATTCCAGAACATGTATAACTTCATTTAAAATATAATGTTTGATACAAAAGCAAGTTTAACTTCAAGTTATATTTCATAATTTAAATTAAATTTTAAATATATACATTGCAGATGATGAAATTTAAAAAATACTTTTTTCAAATAATAAAAATATTTCAAAAATTGTTGTTATGCAGTTTCAATAATATACTTAAAAAACATAAAAAAAAAAAAAAAAAAAAAAAAAAAAAAAAAAAAAAAAAAAAAAAAAAAAACCATGTCTTTAGATAAATTATGTTGCATTTAAGTCAAAATGTAACATTTAACAACTGAAAATGATAATTTGAAAATTTTTTCATTTCTGCTTTACAATGCCCCCCCCCCCCCCTTTTTTTTTTTTTTTTTTTTTTTTGTCACAGAAATATGAAAAATATCTTTAATTTAAAAAACTTTCCCAAATAAAAATAAACAAAAGTATATAATCTTAGCCACTAAAATAAATAAATAAAACAAAAATGATCATCCATAACACATAAGGATGTAGAAATCTCAAGAGCATTTAATACTTCTTATTCATTTTATGATTTTTAATGATCATTATAGAAAAGAAATTAAAAAAAACTAGTAAATGCAATAGTTGTTCAATTAAAAATTTCAAAAAAAAAATTTTAAAAGCATTAATAGATATTTTATTAATATCTATTAATGCTTTTAAAATTATTCTTCATATTACTATTTATTCTTCATATTACTTTCATTTATTAAAATATATGTACAAATAGATGAACACTTTTCTGGTATAAATGCACAATAATAAAACATACATATAAGTATTAAATAACTTTTTACATTTCTCTCGATCAGAATAAGAACAAGGAAAAAAATGTATATCCACCAATGTATATAAATTAAACTATTCACTGCCTTAACACAAAAACCCACATACTTCCTAAAAAATATATACAAATATATTCACTGTAAATTTAAAAAAAAAAAAAATTGTTGCACATGAAAATGATCTTCAATAATTTGAGTAAATAAACTGGAAACACAACAATTGAATTTATATAAATATGATATTTCTTTGGCAATTCAGTACAGGCACTGGTGTGGCACTTATAAATGAACAGGTCTGTAATTAAAAGGAAAAAATGGAGGGAGTGAAAACATGAATGAATTTCTAATTTAAAAATAAGATTAAGATATACTTAGCAAGTAAAAACAACTATCAAGCAAATACAAATCTACGTAAAAATTACATAGAGTAATAAATAAAGACAAATGAATTCATATAAATTTTAAAGATTAATTATGCTCATTACATTTAATGCACATACTCAATCACATTCTGGAAATTCCAAGCAATAACAGAAATAAATATTTTGGCCCCAGGAACTAAAACACAATGCTTAACATTAAAGGGAAATAACAGCTATTCTGCTTGAACACAGTCACTAAAAGATTTCCCACCTATTAAGTAACTGAATTATGTGTGTATATTATTATAAAGGTTATACATAATCATAATTAAATTGATCTTCTCCCTGAACTAAGAATACAACAAATTTTAATTTGTTTAGGATAAGCACAAAATACAGAGTGGTGGGAACATCATGGGTTTGAAAGGGTGAGAACATCATATGTGGGGGAACAATAAATGAAAGAGACAGAAACACACTGGTGAGGATGACTGGTTCGCTCAAAGTGCCGAATCGCCCACTTATTTGATTGGCGTTTTTTAATGTATGTACAAATAGATTAAAATGTATGTACAAATAGATTAAAATGTATTTAAAAATAGATGAACACTTTTCTGGTATAAATGCACAATAATAAAACATACATATAAGTATTAAATAACTTTTTACATTTCTCTCGATCAGAATAAGAACAAGGAAAAAAATATATATCCACCAATGTATATAAATTAAACTATTCACTGCCTTAACACAAAAACCCTGTACCCCATACTTCCTAAAAAATATATACAAATATATTCACTGTAAATTAAAAAAAAAAAAAAATGTTGCATATGAGAAAGATCTTTAATAACTTGAGTAAATAAACTGAAAACATTTATTGATAAGAAGAATTGGATTTTTGTCAACTTTCTTTGACTTTTTAAGTGAAAATAGGTGGATGTGTACATGGATAAAGTCAAGGGACAACGCAATGCCATTTATGTGTCATTCTGAGATGTTTTTTTTAAGTCACAATAGGTCGATGTGCACATGGATACCGAATATGTTCAATTCTTAAAAACGCACCAAGCAGTGGATGATTCTGCACTTTCCTCACTGGTTTTCGCTGTTTCCAAAGGCTGTTATGAACCACAGGGTTCAAATTCTACGTTTATCTCAAATGCCAAGTCACACTTATAACAGCAGTCATAGAAGGGCGGAAATGTTAGATGAGAGAAATTATTTTTATTTGGTCTAAATTAAGGACTTAATAAAGACCAAAAACCATTTTCACAAACAATAAGGCCTATTATGAACCATGCACGAATCAAAATGTGCCCCTTGGCAAAAAATGGCGATTTTTTAACGCTATTCCTGTTTAAGTGCAACGCTTTCCCAAGTAAAATGGCATCCAAAACATAATGCAATGAAACATACGTGTTATGTAATTTGCACAGTACCAAAAGGGAAATATCAACTTACCTTATTTAGAAATTTATATCTTCAGTCCACACAGAATTTCCTTAACAGCATCCAAAAACTGTTTAAAATTATCTGAACTAGAATTTGCGTACCGCTGTCACCACATAAATTCACAAAAGTAAGAATAAAAAATATCCACTGTAGTACCGGACTGTCGATGGCATTTCTTTGGAAAATCCCTATTCATTACACCTCACATACTGTCGATAGTGTTGATATGAGCTCTGGTTTCCAGATACTAAATTGCCACTGCATCATTTAATGAGAGGTGAACTAAGTCATTATCAGAAACACAAGCGTACGACTTCGAGCAGTTGAATACGATCGTTGTTTCAGGTAAGATACTCAGTAGAATTAGATACAACAAAGTTGCTTTTCTTCTATTCTCAACCACTTAAAAAAATACCTTCCACTCTCTCGTTCTATACCACCAAACACCCAGTTTACCACCGGCAGCCATTTATGGTGTACAGCACAAAATAAGCAACGTACTTTCTCTCCAACATAGAAAAAAGGGCTAAGAAATGTTCTCCCGACAATTAAAATCAGCGCTATCACGCATTACAACCAGTCACGTCATTATAGGGTCCGACCAATAACGTCATCATAGAGTTTCCAAAAAATACACCGTAAAATATTCAGGTTACATAAATGAAACAACAGCTTGGTGATAATCCAAGGGGTACCACAAAACAATGAAAACTAAATTACAAAATTACATGAATTAAATTGTTATTTTTCTCACCTTGGTTAAACATCCCTATTAACCGCTGCAGGCTTTGGACTTGGAGCATCTTTTTGGAAAAATGTTATATACGAATAAACTAAACTGCCACACATACTGAAATAATAAAAAAAGCAAAGTTTAGGCATATTACCAAGCATAGTCTATGAAATGAAAATATTAAAACACTTAATATAGCCTACTTTTATATTTATACAAACATGTAAATTTTATTAAATATGCTAAATAAAGTTATTTAGAACATATTTTTAAAGTTTTGATGAAAACTTATTCCAGAAAATAGATTTAAATTTAAAAAAGAAAAGAAACACACAAAAGCAAAATTTAAAATTAGGCAAATTGGCAATCCTGTGTTTGGCATAGATTTTAATTGAACACTTATTGATTTCTAGGGTGAACAGGTACAGGTCTTTCGTCATAAAGGTTAAAAATATTCTGCAAAGTATGGAAAAGCCAGCCACAATCATATTTATACCATAAACAAAGGAAAAAGCAAAGAAACAGGAACAGAGAAACACCTGTCCAGGGAAACAATAAAGAAACATGAAAATTTTTATATTAGAATTTTAAACAACTTTAGGAAGGGGATTAGAATTATTAACTAAAGAAGATCAACTTTTTCATGAATGTGAAAGGCGCCTCAAGGAAATCCAGTTCAACAACTGAACAAGTTTTATGGATAATTTTTGCAGACAAAAAGTCAAAACTGTGATTCGAGTTCCAACCATGATTAGCCTAAATAGCCTAACCATGATTAGACTTGCTTATTTCTCCTTTTCAGACATAAGATTTGGGCTCCCAGACGGTATAGTGGTTAGGGAAGCCTGACTGTGATACTGAAAGGCCCAGATTCGAATTCTGGAGAAGGGATGGATATAATTGTCCTGTCCCTTCCTAGGAGACAAAGGTGGCCCACTATAGGTGCCTCCAGACCACCACATCTGGCCTTAGGAGTGGCCGATGCTGACAAAGGCAAGTGCCTGCCATTGGAAGGGGAAAAAAAAGATTTGCATTCCTTTATCTGAAATTTTAATGGCCTGTTAGATTAACGACGTATCTCAAACTATGATACTATACTCATTTTTGATTGGGCCTTTGTTTTTGGTGTAGCTTCTCACCTTCTTTGCAGAATTTTTTTTTTTTTTTTTTTTTTTTTTTTTTTTTTTTTTTTTTTGTGAATATATACAAACAGTACAAAGATTTATTCGGTTTTAACGAAAGTTTCCTGCCATCGCAAATATCGTCTGCGCAAACAGTTCGCATTGGCGTGTTTAATCATATTTCGGCAAACGGTTTGTTGCATTTGAAAAAGAGAGAAAATTGCTTTAGAACACAGTGTTGTGAAATTCGTAAAAAAAAAAAAATATCGTTAACACATACTTTGTAACTTTGCTTTTTTTAACAGTGCAAGGTGTCTGAAATGGAACTAGCACATTACCAGATTAGAACCATTATTTACTTCTAGTTCTGTTGCAAAATGACAGCTGCAGAATGTCACCTAATCGTGTGTATAGCTTTGGTTACTAATGTTATATCATAGGACAATGTGAAGGTTCGGTACCGAAAGTTCAAAAACAAGGACTATGACATTCAAAAAGCAGAGCGCTCAGGCCGACCTACTGATGTTGATGAGACCCACCTGCGAGAGTTTGTGGAAGAAGATCAGTATGCTACCATTCGAAAGCTTACTTCAATGGCATGTTCATTAGTCGCGCTATGCATTGCATAAACTTGACGTAAATTTAATTGCTGGGTGCCGCATGAGCTGACTCAAACAGATACGGACAGACGTGTTCGGGCCTGCACAAGAAGTCATAACTGTGATTCGAGTTCCAACCATGATTAGCCTACAAAAGACTTGCTTATTTCTCCTTTTCAGACATAAGATTTGGCCGCCCAGACGGTATAGTGGTTAGGGGAGGTAAACTGCTGAGTTGGCTTCCGACCCAGGTATAGACATATCCATGCAGAATTTGCAGAATTGGTTACACTAGCTACCAGGCCGCAGCCCTGGGCAGCCCCGGCTGAGCAGATGACATTTATAAAATGCAAAAAAGAGATATACATGTGCACTTGAAGAAGAGTACAATAAAAATATATGTATATGCATATAAATACCAACTCATATACAGATATATACACACTTACATACATAAATATTCCGAAATAAATAAAAGTATACATACTCTCACTCATATTGATATATACATCCATACATATACGTTGTTATCATGATAGTTAAAGTTTACAAGAAGCATGCCATTGAGGTACGTGTGATCCTTAGTATAAATTAGGTACCATAAAAATATATATAAACATGTACAGATACATTACAGTATCCAGATACAGTACGAATTTTATGTATGGGAACCTAGCACAGCATAAATACAAAATTACATATTGAACATAAATATTGCATACTCTGTTGCTGACATATTGAAGTAGCTTATATAGATTTTTATGACTACTATCTTCCAGCGTCGGAACAGTAATTGCTAGTACAGTACTCAATTATTGTTTTCAGTTTCCGCTGGGCAACTCTGTTACTTTGTAGATTCTGGAACCAATTTGGAATCCAGAATCTGAGGCTGTTAAGTGCTGTGTGTGGGCAGGAGAAGACAAAATGGTCTGGATGATCCTCCTCCCCACATTCACAGTTACCATTCTCTCTCAAGCCAAAGCGGCAGAGGTATGAAGGGAAGGGCCCATGACCAGTGAGGAAATACGTCATGTAATTGCTATTAGTTTGGATTGTTGGCTTGACCTTGGGGATGAAATTGTAAAAACGTCTTCCTGTGGAAGCTTGATCCCAACGTTCTTGCCATATTCTTAGGAGCTGGTGGAATGTCCGACTCTTTAGGTCCGAGACTGGCCTAAGGGTCGAGACTTCTCACTAAGTGGATGAATCTGCTGCTTCCTTTGTGACAACATCTGCTCTCTCATTTCCTTCTATTCCCGTATGAGCGCACATCCAGATGAGGGTCTTTGCGAAGCAGGCATGTGGGTTAGAATGTCTCTAATGCTGCTGACGATAGGACTGCGAGAACGAATTCCAGCTATCGCAGCGAGGCTTGAGGCTGAGGCTGTGTAGATGATATTCAGCACTGTGGGATTATTCTTCAGGTGGAGAAGAGCTGCTCTGATTGCAAGTGGTTAGGGAAGCTTGACTGTGATACCGAAGGGCCCGGTTTCGAATCCCAGAGAAGGCATGGATATAATTGTCTGTCCCTTCATAGGAGGCAAAGGTGGACCACTATTTGGTGGCTCCATAATAAAGAGACCACCACATCTGGGCTTAGGAGGGGCCGATACCGCCTTTGGCATGTGCCCACCATTGGGGGGAAAAAAACACATAAGATTTGTTATCCTTTATCTGAAATTTTAATGCCCTGTTAAGTTAACCGACGTATCTCAAACTATGATACTACACTCATTTTTGCTTGGGCCTGGTGTAGCTTCTCTCTTATTTTGCAGAATCTTTTTTGAGAATATATACAAATATCAACGCAAGGTCAAATGGACTGGATCATCACTTGTGATGAAAAGTGGATTTAGTTCAACAACACAGGCCGAAAAGGGGGTTGGCCTGTGCTCGGTGAGCCTGTCGACAGCGTCACAAAGCGCAATTTGACAAACAAAATGATCATGTCTTGTATACTGTTGGATTACCGAGGTATTTATTATCCACAAAGAATATCTGTAAAAAGTTAAAACCCTCGAAAGTAAGGTGTACAGCGAAACACTAGTCCGTGCTAACGCTGTTATCGAGGAAAAATGTCGAATTGAGTTCTGGTGCAAAGAGGTAATGTTTCATCAAGATAATACAAGACCACATATGTGTGCATTCACCAGCTGGACTCTATGGACTCGAATGAGATCTTTTGCAATACTCAACACATAGCCCTGATATCGCTCCTCCGGACTTCTACCTTTCCTTCATATTTGCAGCTACATCTTGCTAGTGCTATATTCCATTCTGCAAAGGTCGTCCGATATGAGGTTGATCTGTTTTTGGACTCACGACCACCAAGTTTCTCAGTGAAGGCTTTGAAGCACTACCAAAATATTAGCAGAAAATCATAGATTTGAGTGGTGATTACTACCCCCAACAAAGATACTGCTTTCATATTTTTTCCCCTTAACTTTATTAAGAACGTTTTTTGGCAGAAAACTTTCATTACAATCAGATATTAATAGGCTATATTATACATTAAAAACTAAACTGTCATTCAAAATAAGTAGTATTTTGATATTCTGTTAAAGAATTTTGATTACATATCATAAGTTGATGCCTACATAGTCTTCTTTCATGGGAAGAAGTTTTTTAATCTATTTTAAAGATATTGCTGGGTTTTAAGTAAATTTATTACTAGAAGTCGATGAAGAAAAAGTTAAATAACTAAATAAAACCCTGTTGATTGATTACTCGGGGATTTAAAATGGAAATAACATTATTTCTCTCAACTAGTTATACTGAATTCATATTTAAACAGGTTTTCCTCTGTTTGTAGTAATGTAGTTTGAGGGAGTTTTATTCAAACAGTTGTCATATTTTATTTCAGTGACGCTTACATAATAATAATAAAGATACCTTAAAGCGTGCTTACAAGATCGCAATGTATTATCTGGAAACAGATGTAACTCGTCCTCCTACATGTTCTTTTTAACTCTACAATGTTTGAGGTTTTCCGAGATTTGGATTTGTTTGCCAAATTTAAAAAAAAAAAAAAATGAACTCTGAACAATTTCATGCTACAGTAATGGAAACAACTGGAGATAATTATCCAGATAAAAAAACCTATGACTTCACGTTTTTACAGATGACTCGTCACTGAATACAGATAATGCAAGTATTCTTAATCTGTCTTCTTTCTACATGCCGGTTGGAATACACAGCTCTTTTCCTGGGGTAACTCCTCAAGAAAAGGAACACAGAAGTTTCTTTGCAGTCGTAAACTAAATATTTTATTTCGTACTAAAACACTTTTACTAACTTAGAAGCCTTACACAAGTTACTCACAAAACATTTTCTCTAGATTATAGTAGTACTATAAGATGTACTAAGTACATCTTATTGTCATGAATACATACAAAAT